ATTTTTTATTTTATATTTTATTTCTTTGTATATTTATGTGGAAAAGATTGGAAAAAAATCATTGCTATTAATCTTTATGATATTTTTTATAATAATACAAAAGAATTAAGTAAGAATTAGGAATTTAAAATACTAAACGAACATTAAAATTTAAGAAATTTCAAGAATTGAGACCAATGTGAAGACAACAAATATTTTGCGAATCCTATTCAATTTTATCAGAAGTGATATCAACTAAATGAATAATTGTTTTAAGAAATTTTATATGTTTTAAGAAATTATGTAGTGATTTTATATTGTTTACATGTACATATTTTTGCATGATTATAAGTTTAATCTTGATGATTTATATATTGAAAACCAGCCAAGTAGAGCAACAAATGCCATATTCTTGTATTAATAACAACAGTCAAAATAATTAATGATAAAAAAGAAAATATTTAAAAAACAAAAACAAGAAAACAAAAATTAACAATTTAAAGAGGAAATTACAAAACAATATGATTATAAATTTGTTAAAAATCCTATGCTCGACGTTAATTTTATTTTAAAAAGGTAATAGTTGATGCCATAAATATTGGAGATATAAAATATTGTTTTGTTCTTAAGGAGAAATATCACATATCTTCCATCACATTTTTATTATATTATATAGTTCCAAAGAGAAATTATAGAAAGTACGATTCATATCAAAAGAATAATAAAAATATCTTAAATCTTTAGTTCTTTTTATTTTATTTTAGTATAAATTTTAGTTCTTTGTTTTAAAATTCAAAAAAAGCTTAGCACTTATTGCTTGTAAAAATTTGAAAAATGTTCCAGAAATAGCGTTTTAAAAAATGCAAAAAAAACAAACGATCGTATACGAAATAATTTTTTTAAAAATTAAAAATTCAAAATTTTAAAGGTGTAAATTTTAAAGGTGTGTCAAATATATAATATATAATATATAATAAAATGTATATATATAAAGAAAATCGATCTAAAAAAAAATTTTTTTCAGATCGAATAATAATACGACCCTTATTCTTTCCTTAAATCCTTAAATTAATAAACCAAAATCTGAGCTAATTTTTTAAAATTTAATAGAATATTATTTTTCATTATACACCAATTACTCATTATTGAATAAATTTTTATTGATTAAATTTTTAAATTAAATATTAAATATTTTATATTTAATATTTTATATTAAATTTTATCAAATATGAATTATTAAAAATTCCACAAAAAGCTATAGTCAAATATATTCGTTACCAAATAATCCAAATAATCCTTAAAACTTTGGTCGAAACAATCGACGAAATTTCTATGAATAAATTGTAAAAATTTTTTTACAATTAAATATTATTTTTCAAAAGAATTTTTAAAATTAAATCGACATTTCTGAAATTCAATATTATAATTTCGAAAATAGTTTTATTCTTTCTATAAAAAAATTATGTGGAAAAAGGCAAATTTTTTTGATAATTATTTTATTAATAAATTTTTTCGCAAAATTTTTATTATTTTTTGCAAAAGCTAATTGGTGCCAAAAAACGAAGCAATTATTGACTGATAGCTCCATTTTTTAAAATTTTAATTTATAATTTATTTTTATTTTATTTAAAGCCGAATTTTTTAATATTTCTAATTGAAAATTTAAAAATCACTTTTTCAGTCAATAATTTTGTAAAACTGATTTTATTGAAATTTACTGAATTTTAAGCAATTTGATTGACAACATCACTTACAGTAAGTATAGTTATATTGTTATGTTAATAAGTATGACGATATCAGTAGTAATGATAATGATTGAGTCGATGCAAATAAAAGGTGATATTTGCATTCGAAAATTTATTCTTGGGCTACTGGTTACCGTGAATAATGCTCTTCATTGTTATCTTTAAATTTTGCGATAAGCTTTTTTTAAATTTCTAATAATGATAAAATTTAATTTAGAACCATTTTTCTTGCAAAATTATTTATAACGGTCGCTTAGATTACAAGAATTTTATTGAAACATATTAGACCACTTAATTGCAGTAATTTCCAGCCAATTTCAGGTAGCTCATCTTTTCGCCAATGTTGAAAGCGAAGTGTCTTTATGTGGTGCAAATGCACAAGGACGCATTCATTGCTACGATGCTTACAACAAAAACTGCATGAGATGCAACTGCAACCGTGGTTATGCAGTCCTAAGAGGTCGTTGCGTTTTAGAGGCAATCGCTCGCCAGGTTCTATAAATTTTACAAATTCATCAACACGTTTTCGTTTTTTAATAAATTATTAATAATAAGCCAAAAGTTGTAAGAAAATTTAATGATTAAGCTAATAATTGATTTATCGATAAATCGCGAATAGTTCGCCGTTGGCATTGCTCTAAATTCTCAAATTAATTATCCAGGCAACTTCTGGAAGACTACAACGCAGTACAGAATCGAATCTCATAGCGTTGAGAAGCCCAAACTGTGGAACAAATATGTTACAACTGAACAGATATTGCGAACGAGGAACTTGTGGTAGTTTGTGTTATTGTGTGGATGGTTATCATCGATACGGCGATGAGTGCACGAATGAATAAGAGATATTTGATGAAGGAATATTCGATAACGTTCATTCGATGTTATTTATTCTGTCCTATTTCTTTAAAAATTTCTTATCACCTATTAATATCTATAAATTTAAGCAAATCAAATAAATTCNTAATAATTGATTTATCGATAAATCGCGAATAGTGCCGTTGGCATTGCTCTAAATTCTCAAATTAATTATCCAGGCAACTTCTGGAAGACTACAACGCAGTACAGAATCGAATCTCATAGCGTTGAGAAGCCCAAACTGTGGAACAAATATGTTACAACTGAACAGATATTGCGAACGAGGAACTTGTGGTAGTTTGTGTTATTGTGTGGATGGTTATCATCGATACGGCGATGAGTGCACGAATGAATAAGAGATATTTGATGAAGGAATATTCGATAACGTTCATTCGATGTTATTTATTCTGTCCTATTTCTTTAAAAATTTCTTATCACCTATTAATATCTATAAATTTAAGCAAATCAAATAAATTCAAGTTATCTAAACGATTAAAAAAACATCGCATAATATGGAAAATATTTTTTTCTAAAAATATTCAACTACAATAGCTTAGTGGGTTATCGCTCAATTCAAAGCACTGATGTTTAGGTCCTACTCCCTGGAGGAGTAAACCTGTCCGAAAACCTGAGAATAGTGCTGGAGACTCACCTGTACTTACTATCGCCAAAAAAGTTCCTGGCTTATTTGTCTAGCCTGACAAGCCGACGAATAACCAATAAAAGGTGAGGGCTCTTGAAAAAAATCTTCTTCTAACATCTTTCACCATTACTGGTTAGGCTGGCTCCAACGGCTACAAAGGTAAGACACTTCCAAGTGGAGCGGTCTGATGCCATCGTCGACAGTAATAGAAGCCATTCCTTTTTTCATCGTCTAAGTGCATATATTGCTGGTCCTTACTTATACATTCAAAATTTCTAACCGTATTAGTCCAGGTCTATTGGCCCACCTCATTTTTGACGCCAATCATTACAAGGTTTAACAAATAACGAAATATGCGACAACTCTTGTGATGGACAACGGAGAACGTACTCTAACCAGCGATAACGATGCTCTGTTATAATATTATTAATATGTGGTATTAATAAATGGTATCTGAACGAAGGTGGATGCGATCATTGATATCTTATCCGCTCGATGAATCCATAATATGTATTTTAGACAAGAGTGGTCAAAGACAGATAACCTCTTAATATCCTCCACTCTCATTTGCATGTCTCAGAACCATATAGCAAGATCGAACGGATATATCGATGCTGATTTTCGTTTTAGTGGTAATTTCACGACGGCTTCATAAAGGTTCCGTCAACCGGAAGAACGCATTTCTAGCTAGCGTGATCCGGGTTGCAATATCATCTTTTGTCTGACCATTTGATACTAGAATAGACCCAAGGTATTTAAAATCAGGCACTTCTTGAAAAAAAGCTTACATAAAAACTTGAAAAAAAAGCTCATCTTACTTAATTAATTTACTTAAATAGCTTACTTAAAAAAGCTTGCATGAATTTCACCAAAAATAATATGGCAGTGGTGTTTTCATTTTTACGAATGAAGAAATTCGATGAAGTTTTCAGCTTCCGTTAAGCGATAAAAAACCTGGAAAATTATATAAAAAGATAATTTTTAATTTCCACTGCAAATGATTCTAAGTTCTTCTTAAAACGCCTAATAATTGATAATTCAAATAGTATTTTTTGTATCAATGAAACATGGTTGGATGATTCTGAAACGAGAATTAATCTTCGATGTTTTTTGAAATAACAAGTGCAGCAATAAAATAGCAACATATGAATGCATGTGGGCTAAAAATGGTCAATAGTAGTTAATTTCTTAATCTCATTCGCCATTCTTCATTGACCTATATTGAATTGCGTACACTAGAAAAATTAACCCACGCTTTGATATTTATTTATAGTGATTTTGCAATCCGGAGGAAAATAAATCATTTAAGACTGGACTGGAACTTAAGACTACAGTCTACAAAGAGTTTGCCAAGAGTTGGTCCAAGATATTCATAATTTGGCGTTTCTACTTGATTGCAAGGCGCATTATCATACTATACGGCCGGTGAAATATGGCCAAAAGGAGTATATCAATGTAGCCTCTAAAAAATTTTTTTCTTGTTTAAGTTTTTCTTAATTTAACAAATGATTATGTTTCATAATTTTAAACTTTTGAAGTTTTCTATTTATTTTCTTAGCAAAGGTGAATGATGCGATAGTTTTTCAACTTATCAGAATTACTAATTTTAATGAAATACCAAACTTACTTTTATTATAGACAAAATATAATCATAAAATTCACAGATAACTAATTAACTTTGAAACCTTAAAATTGACAAAATTGACAAAAAATTGTGCCATGATTTTTTTTTTTGTACAATAAGTATAAATTAAAATTTCTTTCTTCGTCTTTTTGCTGGTACCAACTAAACGTTTTCATGAACCTATGTCAGGATTTTCTAAAAATCGCCGGTAGTTTGATTTGCGATCTTGCATTGCTGGTCAAAATATCGTAACAAATTGCTATCATGATTATTAAAAACTAAGTTATATATTTAAATTATATATAAATCATATATTTTAAATTCGCTATCATTAATAAAATTTCAAAATTCCAAATTTTTTTTAGGAATAAGAATTAATATAATGAATTGAAAATTTAATAACAATTATTTTTAAATTTCCAACAGGTTTTGAAGATAAAAACGGAAATGCTCAATTGAGATTTATTCTATTAAATTTATAAAAATACGAAAAAATACAAATCTCGATTTTAAGCAAAATTTTTTTCTAAGGTTATCAGATCCGTCTAATGAATAAATATAAAAATCTAAAACTCTTTTGGTATTCGCCTATTCAGATTTATTCTTTTGCAATGGCGAATATTTTTTCCAGATATACGAGCTTCTTAATTCTTAAAAATAGGTCATCTAGAAAATAGCGAATGAATCGCCATGCAAATTTTAATTAAAATATTAATAATATTGCAATTTTGATCGAATAAATAAGCCGTAAAATTAACTTTTCATCTTGAAGAATAAAGAAGTTTCATAATATTGAATTAGGTACGTGTTACATTTCCTCTTATGAGAGGCCTTTATCGACGCTTTTTTAACAAAATCCAAATTATTTGTGTATTATTTTGGCAGAGTAATAATATTTATCGATTCTATCAAAAATCGAGAACGAATTTGCTACAAAGAACAAATTATAATACTAAATTTATTAAATTTATAAATAAATAATAAATAATAAATTATAATAATAGAATAATAAATTTTAATTATAATTATAATCTATGATTGCCGTTGTTCATTATTCTTATAGAAAATTTTCGAAATTTTTCAAGAAAAGCTCTTTATTTTATAAAATCTTTTGTTATTTCGTAGTCTAATTTTAATATTCAATATTTACTGAACAGAGCGCATATGTGCCATGTGCTTGTATTAATAAATCAACAGTTAAAATAATAAATAATAAAAATTAATAACAAAGATAAAAAAAATAAAATTAGCAATTTAAAGATGAAAAAAAGAAAAAATTACATAATATAATATAATGTAGAACAAATCGAAATAACTATAATCGGATGGTAAAAATCGAGATTTCACACTTTCTTCATGATTGTTGACTTTTTAAATTATATCATAAATGATATTATCTAATCTTTTTTTAAAGATAGCTAGGAATGGCGTATAAGCTGTATTGTTATTGTTATTCCAATAATTAATATTACGAATTAATATTAATAATTTTTTAAATGTATTATCTTCAATATAAAACGATTTTCCACTTTTTATATATTTCAATTTTTCATATCTATTTTTTTGAAATGAAAATTTAGAAAATCTAGCAAAATATTTCCCATAGCAGTTTTGATAAGTTTTTTTTTCATTTAATATATTATGATAAGAAGAATCATCGCTGTTAAAACAATCAAACAGTTTCTAATCGCTTAATGGATAATTTAATTTAATTTAAAGAAAGAATTAAGAAATGAATTTATCCTCTAGTGAAATCGAATTAAATTTATTGAAAATATAATAAATATAATAAATTAAATATAATAAAATTTATTTGCGATTAAATATTATTAAGTTATCATCAGTGATTAATAGTAATGAATATGTACTAATCAGTGAAGAAATTATTTGAAGAGTGCAAAAAAAATTGAAAAAATTAGAATTTTTTTTCCACTTTTTTCGAAAAATTAGAATTATCATTTTTAAAGAAAGAAAAAAAGTTAAAGAAAAGAAGAAAAGAAAGAAATTTTTAAAGAAATTTATTAAAGAAAAAAAAAGTCATGAAATGAAATCATTTTTTGCATGTTATTTAATTTTTATAAATTTTATAAAAAACTTATTCTCTCTCATATCACTCAAATTTCAACAAGATAAACGTTAATCTCAACATATAAATAAGGAAATATCGAACATAATCCACAGTCGTATAATCCATCTATCATTCATGGATTATTCTCTGTGTATTATTCTTCCATTGTACAAATTGAGACATGCCCTGTGACTCTTTAATCAAGAATTCCCACATCATTGCAACCAGTAGAGTTCGCCAAACTGGAAATAATATCTATTCTACTAATATACTTATGCAAAATATACTTTCATTGGCTATATTCTTAAAACTATGAGAACTTTGCTAGAAAGTCGACTAGGAATCTGAACATCATTTATTTTGCCGTTTAGTCCTGCAAAAGTAGAGGTTGAACTCAGTGCTCGAAGGGATAACACCGATTCAACTAATGTATTTTTCCAGAATGCGCAAAAAATAGCCACCATCAAATATCGCTATATTCTCTTAACATCCTTCTTGTTGTAGCTTCAGTGATATTCTGATAAGGACCGAAAATGCAAAGAGAGAGAAAAGTTACTAATAAGAGATTAAATGCTTAGAGAGAAATTAAATGTATGGCTTGGCTTTATATGGAAAAGTTGTGAAAGAAAAACATATTTCATTGAAAGCC